TGCTTTTCTAACATTACGCAAAGTTATTTGCTAGAGGTAAAAGTGGTCCAGTAATACTTTTAATATATATAGTTGTACTATGTAAGTATAGGTGTATTAAAAGATGGCGGTAGGTGGTGGTTGGTTGAATCGTGATGCGCAGTAACATGCTGACGAAACTCGGTTCTTCTTTTATTTAAACTTTGCGCCTACGTGATGAGCATAGTATTAAAATGTATCGTAGGCGTGCACTTGACGAACCGGAAGCCTTTAAAAATGTCGGAAGGAGAACGGAAGGACAATCGGTAACACTTTTGATTCCGTTTTGGTAGCATAATACGTTTATAAACGTTTGAAACTTATCCTTTTTCCCTTTACCGAAACTTATAGAAAGAAGAGCAGCAGCTGTGCTCACCCAGTACGAAAGTGCAGCTGTTCGAATTATCGCGCTGAGTTCGGAGAACGCGAACCTTTTTGTTTTTTTTCGATGAGCTTGACCTGGTCTCTCAGGACGAAATCATTTCGAACGGGTTTTTATTGTCTGTTTTTTTTTCTTTTTTAATTTAATAATTGTCGTTCGATAACCGTTGAAAGAACAAATGGATAACAACGTTTATTAGATAGATTAAAATTATAAATAATAATAATAAAAATAGCGTAGAGAACGGGATCATTAAATTTGATATTTTGATATATAGTCCAAGAAAAAAAAAATAAAGGAAAGAAAATAATTTACTCGTTCAAATTACCGCGTTGAATTCATAGAACGTTTCTTGTTTTTCAATAAGGTTGACCTGGTCTCGGAATTAAATAACTCCAAATGAGATTTTATTTTATTTTTATAATTTTTTTTTTTTTTTTATCTAATAAGCGTCGTTGTCGAATAGATGGATAGTAATGCTTACCAGAGAAATTAAAATTATTAAATATTATATGAACGTCAAAATATAATAAGGATAATTAAATTTAACATTTTTACGATATAATTAAAAATATAAATAAAAATAAATATAATAAAAGTAAAAGAAAAATAAAAAAAAAAATCTTCTTGTTCGTACTATTGAGAAATATAAACATCGAGTTGAATTCGAAGCAAAATCTTTGGCGTTAGGAATCATGAGGGGTACCATAGAGGAAAAGAGGCATCCATGATCGGAGAGCGAGCACTGGCTGGCTTTCACCATAATTACATGCTTGTGTATCTCACCCGCCGACTATGCGTTTACATTTATATATCCATGTATGGTTGTTACATGTATTTGTATATATACATATATATATATATGTGTGTGTATGTAAGAAGAGAACGCCGAATTGGTTGTTCCCCATCTCTTCGGCATCGTTCGCTATTTTGTCTGCATCGACTGATGCAATCGGTGCAGGCCTTGCGCTATAAATTACAACAGCCTTAGGGAAGAAAGATACGACGAAGACGAAGGGGCCAAAAAGAAAAAGAAAGATGAGGCAGATCACGAGAAGGATGAAGATGAAGAAGAAGAAGAAGTAGAAGAAGAAGAAGAAGATGATGAAGATGATGATGAAGAAGAAGAAGATCTGGAAGATGATGGTAGTATGTTCTTGTTGTATTTGTTGTCTTCAACGAGATCTTCTCTTATACACACACACACACACACACACACACATCTACATACACATATATCTATACAACTAAAACGAGATGAAGAAAAGGAAGAAGATTCCAGTAAGGAAGATAAAAAGAGATAAAGGGACTGCAAAAGAAAGAAGAAACGTTCCAAACTGCTTCGTTCCTCTTTGCGACGATCGAGACTGATGGCTTGTGGAATCGTGGCCTTGCACTACATTCTGAACTTTTACGACAATACCAACCCTGTGATCAAAATATTGCGAACTATAAAACATTTCTAAATGGTAATCCTTAACATAGATATTTTTTATTTTCTTAATTGTTTCATTTTATTTTTCCTTTGACGATGATCATAATTATAATCCTGAGAATGTAAAAAAAAAGAATAGATTTGTTGAATATTTTTTTCAATGAAAATAATTCATAAATATACGTCAATCCGTACGATTGAATTTTATACATTAGTTTTATTATTTCAATAAATCCTTTTTGTTATTTACACATTTTAAGAATAATATCATATTCATTATTCGTATTGCTTCGAATTAATACACGTACGTATACACACATATATACATATATATGTGTATACAGAGAAAGAGAGATACCGGTCTATTTTCACATTCTATATACATTGTTTGAAATAGAATTATATTCGTTATTTGTATGACACGTTGTTCGGATAATCTCGTTTTTTGTCCTTTTTATTTCCTGTTTTTACATATTTTTTTTTTTTTTTTATTCTTTTATTTATTTTTTTAACGGACATTTTCAATCAAACTGTCTCGTCAATTATCGTTAAGATTTGTAACGATGTTTAATTCCAAGTATTTTCAAATAATAAAATAAAATGTTTTGAAAAATGTCGGAGAGAGAGAGAGAGAAAAGAGAGAAAGAGTGAATCGTTGGTAATAACCCGATACACTGATCCCAGCTTTAGATTTTGTTCGTATACGTTTGTAAATACACGAGTGTGCACTATGCACGTTCGCTCTAGCAAGATAACGTGATGTATTATAGCAGATACCTTTTTGATGCACTCACGTGTAGTATTTTTCCTCTATTTCTTTCTCTCTTTTCTCTTTTCCCCTATCTACGCTTCAGTATCGTCAGATTTTTCGCAAAAATCGTTCTAGATTTGACGTTTGAACTTGTGATAAAGATTCTAATCGGTCTGTCATTTTTAAAATGAAAACTGCCACGTCAACAAACTTCTATGATCTCGATGGCCTTCTCATCGATACGCTTGCTTTATTTATTTACTATTCAAACAGATATTGTTGTAGTATAATATATGTAAATGTGTTCACTAAATTAGATATTAAGAAAACCAAGAAAGTTCGTGTGGTTTTTAATCAACACGGCACGTACTTTCTTGGTTATCTAATATTATTATTACATAGAATTTTTTTTTATCTTTTTATTATTATTATTATTATTATTATTTAATTTTGTTTTTGTTCTATATATAATGAATAAAAAAAAGAAAGAAAGAACTAAAAGTAAAAACTAGCGAGTTTCGCTTTCCCTGATGATTACCCACCACGCAATGAATTTTAACGTTTAAGTGCGGTTTTCCGGTTGTTTGAGAGAGTCGAAAAATAAAAACAACTGGATATACGAGGGGGATGAGGGGAAGAATAAAATAAAAACACAGTACGTAATTAGAATTATTAAGTTACTTTTCCTATAGGCGATGTTCGATATTTAATTAGGCGATCTTGATAATCCGAGATATCAAGTTGATCGTCAAAAGATTACAACGATTTGATGATCGATAGACAACATCGATCGTTCCTTGTTTCTTCCTCATTTGATTTTCTTCCTAGTTACCATAATTTTTTCTTATTTACATTTAAATTCTCTCAGGATATCCTGGATCGAGGTCATTCGAAAAACCATAATTATCAATATGTTGCAATCACGTATGTACATTATATCAAGGAGGGATATCAAACACACTTAGCAACTATTTACTTACTATCGCTACAGAATATTTCTTTTTTTTTTTTGTATAAAAAAAAAAAAAAAAATAGGAAAAAGAAAAAGAAAAAAAATCACGTTGAATAAACCAATCCAAGACGGAAGGTGCAAGATTTTGTTGTAACGTCGAAGAAAATTACACCAGCAAGGACAACTGGTTCTTGCATAAAAGACATATGGTACAATCCTATATTTATCGAGATTAGAACCTTCTGAATTTTTCAACAACATGCGAACAGTCCAATCTAGTTTCTAATTCTTTTAAACGAATGAGAGAAACAAATAATTGAACAAAAAAAAATTATTAAAGAAGGAAACTTAATTATTATCGTTGAATTCGTTCTGCGTAGATAGAATATTTGTGAAAATCTTGTATGAAAAATAATTCATACGTATAATAATATACATATAACCAAAAAAATAAGAATTCGATTAATGATTAAATGCCAATATTAATCATCGATGATCTCTAAACAGATACTATACATAAATATACATTTATGTGAATATTTAATGCAACTCTGCAATAAGCCGAAGCTAATCAAAGCTGTGATTATGCTAACTGATCGGCGATGAAATTTACTTGATTTATCATTTGTCTTCAATACCAATCCTACTTGTTAAATGTTAACTCTATCTATCTATCTGTTTCAAACTATCTATTAATTGAAATAATGACGAATATATATTTCATAAATGATCATAAATAAATCTTTTGATAAGATACAAAATTCGTCGTTCTTTTTTTCGTTCGTTGGCATCGATACTCTTGGCTTCGTATCTAGTGATTTTCGATAGAAGTAAATACACATACATGCATGTTTTATACATACATTCACTGTCAGTGTGCACATGTGTACCAACAGGAAAGAGTAATGTTCGGTGACCCTTTAAACACGGCAAAAGGTAACGTAGCCAGAGCAAAGCCATTGGCTCCAGTGCCAATGTTGGCTAATGTAAGTCAAATTCAAATATCCCCAAGTAACAAATTAAAAATAAATAATAAATTGAATATTTTATACCATTAATAACATATAGAAAACGATTTCCAATCAACCCTTTCTCGAAATAATATTTTTCAAATAAACTTCAACTTACATTTGCGGCTATATGGTTGCTACAAATGATACCGTATATTGCTTTGGAATAAATCTTGAAAAATTTGTTAATATATAATTCAAATAGAAACGAAAATAATAGAGGATGATTTAAAAAATAAATTGCTATTTTTTCGAGTAAGAGTAATAAAATTACTTGTTTAAAAACTCAATTATAATCTGAAAAGAACGCCTAAAAAATTGTATTAATTAATTTTGGAAATCGTCTACAAATTATTAGCCCAACTAAAAACTTTGAATCAGTTTTGTATTCATAATAGAAAATTCTTATATATATTATATTAATTCATAATTTGTTGGTTTGTTATTCTTACTTTTGCATTTTTCAGGATCCTCATCAGAATTATCCGTACAGTCGTCAGCTTTGTCGCAAACCCAAGTCGGAGGTATACATCTGCCGTTCGCACAGCGAAATTGTATTAATGGACAAGCCGGTTTACCTGTTGGCGAGAAATGACAAAAATATCAGAACCAGTCTTTCTATCTTCTTATCTCTCTCTCATGGGAATATTTACTATAATATCTTCGTTGCTAGATATTCCCTCCTCCGGTTTACGACGTTTATGTACTTATAGTATACGATCGATGTATATATATGTATATGAATACGTAGATAGTTATATATGCATTCTCTCTATTGCTCATACACGTTGATGATATACCACTTAGTGTAACAAAGTTGGTCTTTCAACATATCCGAAATAAATTTGGCAATTATTTCTTAATTGATTCTCGCTATTTAATGTTATCAAAGTGATCAACAACATAATATATACATGAAAGTATAAATACTGGCTGAACTAAAAGTGTTTCTGGAAACAAATTATTATTAAAAATGAATAATCTACTATTTTTATTTTTTAAATCAACTAATGTAAGTAAGACATTTTAGTTCACATTAAAATTCAATATCCAATATTCTTTAATTTATATTAGAAAGGTATATCATATACATATGTTCAATGCGTTAATTTTTAAATTTTCTATCTTTAATAGCTCTCGATTGTAGGTAATTTTTATTTTGAAAAAAAAAAAAAGAAATAAATGAAAAGAGGCATCCATTTAAATATTGAAGAGAAAATTGAAAATCAATAGGTATTTATAAAATTTTATGTTCAATCTCTTGCATTCTAGCTACCCATATTTTGAAATTTTAAGTGCTACTTTCAACCCTGTAATACATCATTTTAAAGGTAATAAAAATTCACGTCATTCATTCGTGTCTACATATATATACACACATATACATATAATATTTAAAAAATGTAATATTTTAATTAGATATGAAAAAGATAAAATTTGTAGAGAATTAATTTATTCATATAACTAATGTATGATTTAATAGTAATTACCTCTATCTAATGTATCTTCTATTACACCTATCTAACATAAGAGAGAAGAAACCTTAACTCGAGCATGAAAAACGATTATTGTTGAAATATTAAGAACATGTGATATAGCAAGGACGTCATTAATATTTCAAGCAAAAAGAGAATTAATGAACGAGCCACACGATTAATGTCGTCTTTCGTATCCGTCGAAGTTTCATCAAAGATACACGATCTTGTCTCAAAGTAACTTGCTTTTTCCTTTCCATATTTTTTACTCTTTCTTGATTCGCCAAAACTTCGAGAAGCTTTCGAGAACATAATCAAATTATTATCCAGCACGAGGAAGCTCTATAACTTTATAACATCGTGTTCTATTAAAAATTTAATACTCTAAGATAGTCAGTGAACCTACTTTTTCAGTTATTATTTTTATATTTTGTTCATTATCAATATTTTCCTATATACATATATTATTAGATTATTAAATGCATCGTAAGTTTCTTAAAGTTGTCTAATAAAATAGAAAAACATGAGACATGATAAAAAACAAGAACCCTTATCGGGCGTTAATCACCTTTCACATAACAACGGTACTTTGGCGGTGCAGTCGTCTGTCACGTAAAAAGTGACAAACGAAATATGTATATGCATTAGGGTGGGTCAAAAAAAATGACTTTTGTTTTTTTCAAGTGCCACGGAAAAATGGGTTGCTAGACACTTTAAAACAATTCTCACCAAATATGAGCTCTTAATTTTAATAGGAAGATCCTCCGCATCGCAGTTTTTTATATTTTTTTTCAGTCCAATAGATTAAAATTTATACCTTATTATTTATTGATTGTACAGAAAAATGTTCTAGACGAATTTTGTAGGAAATTTAATGCTCTACAAAAAAGGTATCTTATATTTTTTCCGTAAACCTCACCATTTGAATGATATTGAAGATTTAAATTTTATGATTTTTAGACAAATTTCATTTTTGTTTATGAATTTTATAACTCGACAATAAATGACTATTAAAAAGTGCACAATACAAATTTTTGTAGGAAATTAACTGCTCTATAAAAATGGTGTCTTATGTTTTGGCAATTAAATTAAGCGTTCAAAAGATATTCAGAGACAAAAATCAGTACACATGAAAGTTTGATTTTCTTAAATTCGTTCAATTTCCTACAAGAATTTGTATTGCGCATTTTATAATAGTCATTTATTGTCGAGTTATAAAATTCATAAACAAAAATGAAATTTGT